TTTTTTACTGCTTTTCCGTTAGCTAACTTAGTATGTTTCTGTAAAATTTTGGTCAGTCGCATGCTGAAAAAGCATTTACAAATAGCAAATACACTGACGATTTAAAAAAAATTGGATACTTTGAACACACAACATGGGATTGCTCCCTTCCTAATGCCGCGAGCAAGACAAGAATGTCAATGTCTTGCAAGATCAGAGGCTGGGAATGAAGCAAGCGCACAACGGATGATAACTATTTCTACATCAGATTCAGTCTGATCGACACTAAAACCTACTTCTAATAGAACAGTTTTAAATAAAAATATGTATTAGGCTTGTTTTGTTATTTTCATTACCAAGAAATTTATCTTGGGATAATACTGGTACAAGGCTCTTATTAAACTTTATTTATGTGCTGTTTATTGCGACACAAGCGATAATTTAATTTGCTTCAAAGTCTAAAAAATATTTCTGCAGGTTGCTATTTTACTAGATACAGCACGAGACCACTTATTCCAAGATATCGAGAGCGAGCATATAAAAATTGTAATAAGTATACAAAAATGGTCGAATAATTAATAAAAAAGATCCATCCTTGGTGGAAATGGTACCAAAAAAAAACAGCCCCAACTTAAATCAACAATAATTCTTCCCCGTTTGATTTCTAATGATAGGTTTCTAGCTAGATAGTTGATAAGGTTGGAGGGTTGGCTAAAAAACAAAAAATATCTCCAATTATCTTTCTTTTCGTTACGTATGGAAAAAGGACTAGAAAAACAGGCCAACGTTTTTAAACTTGAAAAGAAGATAAAAATTAAGACAAAGTTGGTGGCTGAAATAAAAACTTAATGGTTTGGGACAAGTAATTGTGGCCTTGAATTAATTCGGATATTTATAGGACTTAGATATTTTCAATATTTTTACGAGAAACAAAATGGTTCTCAGTAGAATAGTATTCAATATAGTTAATGAGAAACAATATGAAACAAAATGGTCAAATGGAAAAAATGTAAATTTCAACTCACTGGTCAGATAATAATCCTACATAAACACCAAAATAATAAATAATTAAATCAAAATAATCTTTTTCATAAAATAATCTATCTCCTTAAAACTTTAAAATATATTTTCCAATAATAATTCACATCAAAGCAAACTTAGCGAAACACCAGGATCTTTCCTATTTGATAAAGTAAAGGCTGAAATCTGGAAATCCGCTTCTATTATTCTCCATGTTCCTATTAGTGATTTTGAGATGAAAGACCATTAAAAGAATACATGCGAAGAGAGCATAGAACTGGATATTCAGTGTCTTCATCTTGTGACTATACCGGAAAATACATTGGATAGGCAGTCTCGGCAGTCTAATATTCATAGATATTAAGTGTGTTTATAATTGTGTATGAATACTTGTTTTAATTTGTATTCTATATTTTTGTAGTAATTATTGTGTCATGCCTAAATAAATTGAGTTAATTTTGTAGTACAAGCAAAATGTGAATTATGTTGCGCGATTGTATCGCCACATATTTTTGTAATTTACTTTCCTTCAATTTATATTAAATTTTTAGGCTCAACTGTATAAAAGTTTTGCGTTTTTTCATTTTGTTGGATGTAATATTATTTTTTTATCTCGAAATTTATCTCCAGCCCAGTTTCTTGTAGTATGTCATTCAGTTCTTGGAGCATGTCTTTGATCTCTCCCAGATTATCTGACAGAAGCACGATATCGTCCGCAAAACGTAGATGGTTTAATCTTTCTCCATCGATGGATATTCCTTTCTGTTGCCATGTTAGTTTTTTAAATGCATACTCAAGAACGGTAATGAACAGCTTTGGTGACATGGTATCACCTTGCCTGACTCCCCTTTTTATCTTTATTTTATTAGTTGCAGAATATAGACTTATGGTTGTTGTGGCATTTTCATATATATTTTTGATTATATTACAATATCTGTGGTCGATCCTGCAATCTTGTAGTGCTCTTAAGATGGACGGTAGTTCCACTGTATCAAACGCCTTTTTAAAGTCTACAAATATCAATGCCAAGGGACGGTTATATTCGTTAGTTTTTTCTATTAGGGTTTTTAGGCACTGCAGGTGATCGTTTGTGCCGTAATTAGGGCGGAAACCAGCTTGTTCCCGAGGTTGGTAAAAATCCAGCTTTGTCTCTAATCTATTCGTTATTATTCGGGTGTATAATTTATAAAGATGGTTAAGGAGACTGATTGGTCTGTATCTTTTCAGGTCTGCTACATCTCCCTTCTTGTGTAAGAGTACAGTTATTGAATTATTCCACTTTGTTGGGATATTTTGATTCCATAGGCATAGATTAAAGAGCTTTTGAATTTTGGCTATCAGTACTGAGCCTCCTATCTTTATCGCTTCAGTGACGACACCGTCCTCCCCCGGAGCTTTGTTATTCTTCATCTTTTTTAGGGCCTTGTAAATTTCGTTCAAGGAGATTTCTGGAATATCTTCGGAACCCTGATTTTGAACCTTCCTCTGTTGATATTCGACTATATCTAGAGTCGATTGGTTGCTATATAATGTCTCATAGAATGATTCCACAATTTGTAACAAATGTTCTCTGTTTGATGTGATGTTGCCATTTCTATCCTTGAGTTTGACTATTTGTTTATTTCCATTTGTGAGTTTGCGTCTCATTATTTTCATATTCTTATTTTCCTCAATGGTTTTGATGATTTTCTCATCTTTGTATTTTCTTAAGTCTTTTCTGATTTCTCTTGATACTTCCTTGTTCATTCTATTTATATCGTCGTTACTAGAGTTTTCGTCGCTTCTCAGTATTCTTCTTTGTTCCATTTTTTTCTGTGTTTCCAGACTAATTTTTTCTTCTTTCACGCTTTTTGGGCAGCATTTCTTTTGAGCTTCTGTTATTGCTTCTACTATTATGTCATTTAGAATGTTAATATCATTTGTTGATGATTTTTCTTGAAGGAATTTACCGATATGATCTTCAAAATTTTGTTCGTTGTTTGGATGTGTCCATCTGTTTATTTGCTTCTTTTTTATCATATTGTGTCGTTCATAGTTGGTATTTAACACAATGGTGGCTCTCACCATACGATGGTCGCTTGATTTCGCAAATTTATTTAGCACTGTCACATCTGTAAATATGTATCTTTTATCAGTGATAAAGTAATCGATCTCGTTTGTCGTGTTCCCATCTGGGCTTTTCCACGTCCATCTGCGGTGAGGTTTCTTGTAGTAGTAACTGTTCATTAGGAATAGGTTTTTCTCTAGTAGGAAGTTTAAAAGAGTGTCGCCACGGTCGTTCCGTCCCTGACTTCCAAAATTTCCAAGAGCAGTTTCTGCTGGATCCAGTTTTGTTCCTATTTTGGCGTTAAAGTCTCCACATATAACTGTGAAATGTGTGCGGTTGTTTGTGATGGCTGTACTTAAATCATCATAAAAGACTTCGATCTCCTCGTCTGCATATTCTGTTGTTGGAGCATAGACTTGGATAACTTTTAGATTATATCTAGTATTTATTTTAAAGGTGACATATGTAACTCTAGTGGATACTGATTGGACAGTTATTAGATTTTCTGCTAGCTGTTTGTTTATAAAGGATCCGACGCCTCCTACTGACTTATGTTGTTCTCCGTGATAGTAAAATAAGTGACCGGATTTTAGGGTCTCGAGGCCTTCACCTCGCCTTCTCACTTCACTAACTCCGACGATGTCCCATCTGATATTTTCTAATTCTTCTTCCATTTCTTTAAAGCTTTCATCAGAAAGTAGAGTTCTAGTATTCATGGTTGCAATTTTGAGAACTGTTTGTTTTTTAAAGCATGCTCTTGTCAAATTTGTGTCCCCCCCAGAATCCTTGGGACAGACTGATAAATCAGTGTAAGAGTGTCTACTCACCTGGGATAGTTTCCGTTTTGTTTTAAAATTTGACATTTGTAAGGGTTTTTGGCTAAGTTTAATGCCACGCGAGCCACTGCGTGTTGGCAAGGTTTCCGTTTCAGCCGCCCACTCTGGGAACAGACGCTGTTTGCAGCCGCCCACTCTGGGTCAGACGCCGCTGTTGTCGCAGTATCACAGCCGCTTAACTCATAATGTAAGTGACGCCTGTGAGTATCTGGAATTAAGCCTACAGGATTTTTACTTCCCATAGCCTTAAATCCAGTAATGACATTACTGCTGCCTAATGTCAAATCCTCAGTTGATCCGCGGGTACTTATTTGGCAATGCCTTATTCGTACCTAGATAAATTTCGAGAAAACCAAAATGATGACCAATATGGTTCCCAGCGAAGAGATACAGATCAATAACAACAAGGTAGAATTAATCGATAAATACACATACTTGGGTCATGAAATTAGAATAACCAGAGACAACCAAACCTGCGAGCTAAATAGACAAATCATGTTGGGATGGGCGGCATATGGACGGATGAGAGACATTTTTAAAACAAATATCCCAATTCACCTGAAAAGGAAGGCATTTAACCAATGCATCTTACCAGTCTTGACCTACGGAGCAGAGACCTTAACTTTAACGAAAGCTACTGCCGAAAAACTGAGGGTAACACAAAGGCGAATGGAGAGATCAATGCTGGGCCTGACCTTGAAAGATCGCGTAAGAAATGAGGAGATACGCCGACAAACTGGCGTAAACGATATTATACTGCGAATCAATAAACAAAAGTGCAGGTGGGCTGGACATGTTACTAGAATGGAAGACGGAAGATGGACGAAGAGATTATTGGAGTGGAGACCAAGAGCCGACAAGCGAAGTCGAGGCAGACCACCCACCCGATGTACCGACGACCTAAAGAGAATAGAAACAAACTGGATTGCAGCAGCTAGAGATAGAGAGAACTGGAGACGTTTGGAGGAGGCCTATATCCAACAATGGGTGTGAAAATTCGGCTGGATGATGATGATGAATATTATTTTTTACAATATAAAACACATTGGCTGGTTTTTTATTTTTATTTTACTATAATAAAAAACATATAAATAGGATTAAAATTAAGTTTTACAATGTGCAATTTTATCGATGGAAGTTGCTTAACATTGGAGTTGTTGCATCTTGATAGCTAAAAAATAAATAAACCATATAAAATAAAATTCATTTTTCATTAAAAAGAAAGACAAAAAAAATACTAATGTCTATACAAAATTTATCTTCTCTTCGGAAGTAGAAGTACACTTCTAGTATAGTTACATATAAAAATAGTAAAAGTCCTTCGTTATACATCAAAAATTAGTTCTGCCAATAACATGATTCCCACATTTGGTTTGCCTTTGTTCTAACGTCCATTTTTGAATATATAATAGTTCTAACATGGTTCTAACCCATCTTAAAATCCCCTTACCTACGCTCTTTACATTTCAAAGATCTATGAAAGTTTTATTGAAGGTATAATAAAAGAATAGACAAAAATGAAAAGCTCAGTTAAATGAATAATTTTTTATATGAAGCAGTGACTTCTCGTAGCTCCTTCACCAAATATTGAAAAAGGTATTTAATATTAGATTTTAAAAATATTTAAAGACATATTAATTGTTAATAAGATTTAAACAGAACGAAATTGTCAAGAAAACAGTACAATAAGAAAAATTAGGTATACAGTTATGCTATGAAAGGTGACAAACGAGTTACGAGGACAACGGGACAAGGACTTAATGTAAAAAATGAGAATATCTTACCAAGATACCCACATTCTAACTGATGTTTTAAAATAAATTTTGAGTTGTATTCTGTGTTGCAGAATTATCTGCTTTTGCCAAATAATAATATATAGATTAATTTATGGCCAGAAAATAGGAATCTTAAGCATTGGCGTCCACAGGGAGGGGCAGGGGGTGCAGCTGCCCCCCCCTAGAGAGGACAAGGTGAGTGTAAAATTGGTGAATAAGCAATATAGAAAAATACAAAGTTGTAACTTTATCTTGATTTTGAATGCAACCACTCTGTTTCTACATTCTAGCTGGGACGAAAAAACCACATAAACTGTATTAATCTGCTATTCGCATATGTTCGTATGATACATTCTTCTTCTTCTTCTGGTTCCTATCCGTTTCGGATGTTGGAAATCATATTCGCAATCATAACTTTGCTCGCTTCGGCAAGTGAGCTCGAAAACAACTCCGTTGAGGTTTTCTTAAACTATGTTCTTAAATTTCGCAGCCATGATATTCTCCTTCTACCGGGTCCTCGCTTACCTTTGACTTTACCTTGCAATATAGACTGCAGCAGGGAGTAACGGTGCTGATTTCTCATAACGTGTCCCAGATATTGCAATTTTATGCGTTTGATCGTAAACACAATCTCTGGTTCCTTCTTCATTTTTCCTAGAACTTCCTTGTTCGTGATCCTTGCTGTCCATGATATTCTCAGCATTCTTCTATAAAGCCACATCTCAAATGCTTCAAGTTTTTTAATAGTGGTGTCTGTAAGCGTCCATGCCTCCGCCCCGTACAACAACACAGAGAAAACATAGCATCTCAAATGTCTCATTTTTGTATCAAGGGATATGTTGTGACTTTTGAAGATGGCGTCATTTTGTTAAAGACCGTTCTTGCCTTTCCTATGCGGCACATTATTTCCTGTATATTGCTCCAATGTTCATTTATAATAGTTCCTAGGTAGCAATACTGTTTTACTCGCTCTATCTGCGTCCCATTAATGTATAGATGATACATAAATATAAAATATAAATGATGATGATACATATGATACATAAACGTATGATACATAAATATAAAAAAAGATGTGGGCAAAAAATCAATACGATAAGACGGCTGGCGAGGCTGCGAAAGTTTTTTTAACAGCGAGACCAGTTGATATTCAGATCAACCAGTTTGCAAGCAAAACAATAGAAACTAACAGAACAGTCTTATGTTCAGTTATCTCATGAATCGTCATATCAGGCACTCATAATTTACCTCTCCTTCTGAAAGAATCGAGTGAGGGTGTTTTCCAAAACTTGTGTAATTTTTGAATTGATGCCGGAGACAAAATTTTGCAGGAGCATTTTAAACATGGCGCTAAGAATACCTCATATAAGTCAGTGAGGATACATAATGAAATAATTGACATCTGTGGCACCCTAATTATGGAAGAAAAATGTATAAAAAAACGTCAAAAAAGCAAACTACTAAGCAATATTAGCAGACGAAACCGCTAACATTTCAGGCAAAGAACAGTTGTCAATTAGTTGAGATATTTTGATGAAGAAGCAGAATAATTTCGTGAAGAATTTACAGGGTTTATTCAGCTCGATGATCTGAATACACCAAGCATTGCAAAGGCAACTGATCCTGACAAATCATGAAGTTGATCCACTCAAATATGTCGTCCTGGAATGTTATGGTTGCTCCACTATGTCGAGAACGGAAAGCGAATTTTAGGCAATTTTAAAGAAAAAATACAGCAAATATTTTTTTCTACTGTGCGTCACACAAGATTTAATTTAGTTGTAAACGATTTGAATAGCTTAAATGAATTGCGAAATACTATTGCCGATATTAAAGATATAACCAATTTCTTTCTTGAATCAGTATTAAGAAGGAATATGATAGCTTATATACCTAGCCTCTGCAAAACACGGTGCTCCGAAAAATACAAGGTAATTAAAGTTTTTCGAAAAAATTTCATTAAAATTGTACAGGCCTTGCAAATCCTATCCGTTGAAAAAAATTTGGCCATTAGAGAAACATCTTATCAGTTGCATTCTGCCACATGCAAATCAGAATTTATCGTCACTGTCATTTTGATTGCAAAATATTCTGAATACCTAGAGCCTATAGTCAACCGCCTACAATCTGCGCAAACTAATGTTTTAAAGGTAGCGGAACATATTCGCCAAATCATCGATATTTTAAAAAAAACACAGACAAAACGCAGAAAACTTAACAAACACTTAATTGCATGATAGCCGAAAAATGAGGTTTTGAATTATCTACCCCTAGAACTGTAAACAAGCAACAGCATAAAAGCAATCAACCAGCTGGTACGCCTAGTGAACACTGAAGGCGATCCAAGATTCTTCCGTATCTGTATTCTATCATATCTTCTCTAAAGACACGGTTTTCCTAAGAAAATAGGCCAAACTTCGCTCTGAGTCTTCTGCATTCCAAGCATTTTTCAAAAATTGATTTAAGTTACCTTAAATTAAAACTGAGACAATCCTTAAACCACTATGAAATAGATGGAATAGATTCAGAGCTAAAAGTATGGGTAGAAGATTGGAATAGAAAACGCCTTAATAATGAGTTGGATATTTTCAACATGAAATTTTTAAAATGGTTCGAGCGTTCACTACTTTTATCCGTTAACAAAAAAATTGCTAGAAATTCTCGTAACATTGCTTTGCACTTTGTATACAGTTGAGAGGTAGTTCAGCAGTCTTCGAAGAATAAAAACATGGTTGCAGAGTACAATGGTCGAAGATCGCCTTAATGGGTTAGCTCTAATGAGCATTCATCGGAAACAGATATTACCAAAAAAGAAAGAGTTTGTAGAAAAAGTTTTACAAGAATTTACAATTGATTTATGTAAATTGTTGTTTAAATAATAGTGTTTCTTTATAAAATTACAATTAAGTGATTATTATTACTGTATATTACCACCTCTATTGTGAATTACACCTCATTCGATTTGACATTGAATTGATCAAATTCTGGATGTCGTTTTGAGGAGAAGCTTCCCATTCTTCCATGAGTGCCAACAGAGCAGGTATTCTGTTTCTTACCCTTCGTTTGAGTTAGTCCTAAACATGTTTAATCGGGTTCAAATCTGAACTTTGAGCAGGCCAGTTCATTTTTGGCACACCGAGAGTTTCCAGATATTGCGTTACCATCCTGGCTACGTGTAGCCGCGCGTTGTCTTGCATAAAAATACATTTTTCGCCAACAAACCCAACAAAAGACATTACATGCTCGTCTAGAATTTCCGTAATGTATTGGTAAGTATTCAACGCTCCTTTATCAATAAATACAAGATCAGTACCGCCCTCGAATGAACTGTCTGCCCAAAACATTACCGAACATTCTCTAAAAGCAACACGTACTCGTCGAACACAAGCAGCATATCGTTCCCCACGTCTTCTGTATGTTTTGATGCGACAATCCAAGCCGTAAGGAACCATCATGGACTCATCAATAAATAAAACATTTTTCCAATCCTCTATCGTCCAATGCTCGTGGTCTCTAGCAAACTGTAGTCGGCGTTGTCGATGTGCTTCTGTTAACAAAGGTCCTGTTGCTGGACAGCGTGTCCTTAGAGCAAATTCCCTTAATCTACTTCTCACGGTAGAAGTGCTTAAAGTCCACCCTACGTCCGGGTGGCGTGCTCACGTAAAGTCCACGCGAGCATTTCGAAATCGGTTTTGGATTGATCTAGACGTAAAGAACCGATTTTGCAAAGAAGTGCATTGTAAGAATGGTCTTCTCTGGCCTTCGTGATTCTTCTCCGGTCGTGAGATCCAGTCTTTACGAATCGTTGGTAAACTTTTGGACCATACAACGACTGACTCCAAACTGTCTGGCCACATCTCTTTAACTCATTCCATTACCAATTAAAGTAACAATTTGAACAGATCTAGCAAATTTCTTAGCCATAGTTTTTAATTTAAAAATTGCATAAGTTTACTCTTCGAACAACTGTACACTAAATTTGAAAAACAGGATAGCCATATTCCAAGAAAAATAAGGTACAAACAACACGTGCATTATCCGAAGTCGTAAAACTGATACCAATTCTGCAAACTTATTACCCTTAATTGACCTGTCGGCAACGTTTGTCGGTGCCTAAAAGACGCTAAAAGTGTTTCTGCATTGTGGGAATTTAGTGACAATAGAATAAATTGTATGAACTCAAAATTAATTAAAAAATTCTTACAAAATTCTAGCTGGCCACTTTTTTGTGACGCGCGGTGTGTAGTGATACAAAAATTATTTAAAGACATCGTTATCGCTCTAGGAAAAAGTCAATACTAATATTAAAAATGGAATACTTTTATATCAAATTAGAAAACACACCAAGTACAGATGAAACAGAATAAGAACGTAAACCTATAGAGTTCTTCTACTCTTCTATAACTTGATCTAACTGTCTGTTAGTAATAGATAGTCCAAAAAGACAAATTTTACAAAAGTTTAATTGTCAATACAACAAACAATAACTTTTAATGTCACATTTGTCACACATTTGTAAAAGAAAATGGTGGCCAAACTTTATTTTTTTATAATTATTTTTAGGTAAAGTCTCGTAACATATATTGTAGAACGCTGTAAATGCAAGAATGTGGTAAGAGGCAGGGTGAAATGTGAATAAAAAATGGGCAAAATTAATTTTAGTACCTGTTCTGCATGTCCTGTGTTAATATGTCCTGCTCTAATTACCAGAACAACCAGCCGCTGCACTATATCTTAAAGCAGAACTACCAAAACCTCCTAATCTGAGCGTTCTACTATATTTCTCATTGCAACTTAGCTAACACTTACAAATAATAAAACTTAACTCTAAAACTAAAATCACTTATTTTTCTTACATATTGGCTTTCTTCAATTTTTCTCCTAGACAGGTACTGGAGTCGAAATAATTTTTGTTTATTGTCAGTGTAACTGACTGCACGGAGTTATCGTGGCTTCCAGAATCACTAGAATCGTGACATCTAGTTAGCGATTTAGACACCACCGACATCGATCTTTTCAGCTTCAGTTTGTGGCTGTTGCGAAAGCAACAGGAAGCAAATGTTTCCTAAAATCAAAATAAATGTAATCATTAGAATTTAATTATTTTAATTATAATAATCTGTGGAGTATCCCACATGGGTTTTTTTTAATATATATGGCATAACATTTAATTTTTAAAATATTAGCTTCGGAAACTAAATGATTGCTTGTTGTTTGTTTTCGGTATAGAACTTCCGGTAGATACCATTATCAAATACTTACGAATCACATTAGATAGAAATTTAACCCGGAAACTTCATATTGAACAAATAGAGACAAAATGCAATAAAGGACAAAACTTCTTAAAATCCATTATGCGAACTTAGTGGGGTGCTGAACCTCAAACAGCTCTAATCTTCTATAAAACTTACATAAGATCAATAATTGATTATGGTTGTACATTTTATAGAACAGCCAATAAAACAAATCTACGTAAGGTAGATATTATACAAAATAAATCAAATTCGTCTATAATTGCCGTCACTTGCTTGTTTAACGTGACTTGGACTCTCATCCTCGTATCAAGGTCTTTCACCATACGTAGGTCGTATGATTGTGCTTTCCTTTTCTGCATTGTTTTGAGTTTGACTCGAAATATTCCCACCAGTGGAACGTAGTCTGTCTTCAAGTCTGCTTCAGGATAAATATTGACAAATGTAGTCTATTTGATTTCTGATAATTCTCCCGGGTCTATCTTGAGGGGACTTCCACGAATACAGCTTGCTTGGTGGTAATTGGAAAAATGTGTTGGTGATAACTAGTTCTGAGTCTTCTGCGAATTTTTCTAGGAGGTCTCCTCTATCGTTTCTGACTCCAAATCCATGTGCTGCAGTGTACTGTGTCTTATCTCCAGCTCTAATCTTGGCACTTACATCGCCATAATGATGAAAACGTCCTATCGAGAAATTTTCTGTATGATACTGTTAATGTTCTGATAGAACTCAATTGCTTCTTTCTTCCCTTTGTCTGCAGTGGGAGAATAGACTTGGATAATGTAAATAGAGTTGGCTTCTACCTGTAGTAATATCACTCTCTTTGATATTGTTGTATAGTTAGTAACCTATTTGGCAACCTTGGATGATACGATTATTCCGACTCCATATTCATGTGATACATCACTTTTCCGAGTCTTGTACCTTGTGATCTTCTATTTGGATTTCTCCAGAAATCTTTGGATCTCATTTCTGCTATTCCCATGATTTCAATATACATTCTCGTTCATCTCCTGTATTGCATTGTGGATTGTTCTTATTTTGTATAAAGTTTTGACATTCCATGTGCAGATCTTGATATTCTTTATGCACTTTAATTTATTATCTTTTGGTAAAACTCAAAACTGTCCTCCCCGGAGACCCGATCGGAGGACTTACTCCGGAATTTATTTTAGTATTGAGCATTGTCATGATTGATTGACTAGGGCGTATTACTGTGGATCTTTATTGGAGTGTTTGCCCTACTTGTGCTTCCCTATCCTTATGCCGTTGATCACATCTTTGGTTCTTCCGCCTTCGACGCCGATTTCACAACCTCAGGACAAAAGAGTGCCCTATCACTTACCAACTCATCCACCCGAAGTCGTTGATCAGTAAGTGGGGGATTGCTTATACCGGAATCTGAACTTAATGTGCATAATTTTTGTGCATTGAATTTAAAAACTAAGGAAGCGTACTGCTTTTAATGGAATGAGACAGAAGGTGTGATTATCGCTGAAGAATTCGCTTTGTAGTTTCATCCTTTTTTACAGATAAAGTCCACTTATCTTGGACATCCCAAACAAAAAATTAGTGATTTGCAGCGATAGATACCCAACGCAAAATAGAAACGTTCCTTAAATGCTTTGATAAATGTGAAAACATCGTTATTGAAAAGAAGTACCTTGAAGTATACACCGACGGAGGTAGTTTCTATGCATGCCTCCTTAAAAAAAACTTCGAAATAAAATTATTAGTGTGCCTACTGAATACATTGGTATTTGCCGCAAAAGTGATCGCAAAAGACAAAAATTGTCCTCGCTGGCAAAAAATAAAACTTAGAAAAATTAATGGTTAGACACTATGGGACAGAGCTAGAAGTACAGATATACGGCGTAGATGCTAGTTGGAGAACATCAAGAACTGTGTAAGAAATAGAAGAGTAAAATAGAACGATCATATAAGCCAAATGACAACAAATGAAGTAGTAAAGACGGCAAAAGACAGTTCCCCAATAGGAAGACGATGTCTACATTAAAAGAAAAAGAAGAAAACAGAAGAACAGACTAAAGGCTTAATATAAGCAGAAGAAAAAGAAAAAGTGTTAACTATTTTCAAAGTATTTTAGTTGAAAAAAGTCACCACCTTTAAAACATACAATAAATATAGAAACAAATAATACCAACATTGCACATATTTTAAAAAAGCACATTGTTAACTTACCTTAAAGGCATCTCTAAACTTCGCCGACATAATATTATACAAAATCGGATTTATTGTAGCTGACGTATAAAATAATGTACCACTTATGTACGTAATGATTCCATAGATCTGCATATATGTGTCACGTGTCTCTTTGGTTGGAATGGCGGTGTTGTAGATGGCGTACAGCCTTTGAATGTGAAACGGTGCCCAGCATATAAAGAATGTCACCACCACAGCAACTAGAAAAAGAAAACTTATACAATATATTCTTTTAATTAAATAGCTTAAAATTGTACAACATGAAAATAAAATTGTCTGATGATAAATATAGATAATTCAATGTGTCTAACGATTCGAACATCTATGAAAAACTACTGTGGCGAACTTAATAAATAACCAGATAGTTATTTAGGATAGTTTCATTAACAGCAGCAAAATCACCTTTTCATATTGTCTGACGGAACTTGTCTCCGATTTTCCTGTCTGACAGGTGAAATGTTTCCAGAAACAAACACAGAGAGTATCAGACTCGATCTCATGAAGCGATACCCAAAATTTGGAGAGGGGATACTTTTTTGCTGGCTCTATTCTATATTCCCAGCGAACCTTCTGAATATACTTATTTTTTGTGTCTCACAAGTCATAACGAAAGATTGTAACGATGTCATCACCGTTCAACAGCTTGAACCGTAGGAGTGTCAGCGTTGGCGCTTCCACCTCCTTAGCACGATGTGAGTGGGGTTCAGAGCAACTATTTAAGGCATATGAATAGCGGCATTTATTCAGTCTTTAGCTTAGCGCCTTAGGCTCCTCTCTTCGCCAGTGTCCTGAACTGGCGAGCCCACCCGGACGGAGGTAGTTCTGCTTTGAAGTTCATGCTCCGTCCATAATTAAGCAAAGTCTACCGATATCGTGTCTTGAACTTTATCGCGGACCTGCATAAGCGATTTTGTAGTTGACGAGTGTGTTCGCAGCTCCCGCTGGTTTGAAGCGGAAGCGAATATACGTCTGAGTGCGATTGACTACACCTATTTTATTTGTTATTAATAATTATTTTCTTTCTTTCTTTTATAGGCGTCCGCCGGGGATTCATTCATCGCGGGATCCAGACGGAGCGCAGAGTTAATTTCTACGGCACAGGATTTATTTTATTTTCATGTATATTGTACATATATTAGATCAATAGACATATTTTTATTTTAACCTGTGTTTTACTGAGTCTGTCGTCCTGAAAGAGCTACCCGTTACAAATTGGCGCCCGAGAAAAATTGAGGATTGGAAAGTTACTAAAAAAAAAAAAAAAAAAATTTAGTAACATGCCGACAGATAAGGACACAGACTCAGTAACAGGTACATCCTGGATAAACCGACTTTGCAAAGAGGAATTGCAGAGCGAGGCCGAAAAATTCGGCTTAGATTCCAAGGGAACCGTCGACGAATTGAGAGTACGACTCAGGATATATTTTAAAAATCGCGAGGAAGCGACAGGAGCAATGCAAAAAGAAAAAACTTCCAAGGGAACAGAATCCGACACACTGGCCCAGGAAATTTCGGGCATCCGAAGACAATTACAAGAATTAACAATAGCGAAACAAATGGGGCAATCAGAATTGCTAAATCAAGTACGAAGGTGGAACACACACTTCGACAAGAAACATTCGGATGCAATAGGATTCTTAGAGAGGATAGACGAATTAAGCTTGGCCTACGAGATCGATAAACAAGATCTATTAAGAGCATTACCAGAGTTATTAGGAGACCACGCTTTGTTATGGTACAGAAACAATAACAAAAATTGGAAGTCATGGGCAGATTTCAGCGAAGATTTTAAAAAAGCTTTCTATCCCAGAGGATATTTGCTGCAACTAGAGGAGCAAATCCGAAACAGAAAACAGAGACAAAATGAGCCGGTAGATAGATATATCACGGAGATTCAAACACTAACCAGACGAGAAGGATCGTTTTCCAGAAACCAAGAACTCGAAAGGATATACAAAAATCTGTTACCAGAATATAAGCTTTATGCTCGCCGCCGAGATTTTGAAAACTTAGCCGAATTACAAGATTTAGCTCAAGAATACGAAGCTTTAGAAGACGAAAAGAACCGATCAAATCAGAGTTGCCGTGGAAACTGGAGACGCACGGACCAAGCAGAGTACGATGCCAAAACGACATGCTTTAGATGCAAGATGCCAGGTCACATCCGTAAAAACTGCAAAAACCCGTGGAAAAAGTTTTGTTCGCGTTGCGGCAGAGAAGGGGTTTACAGTAGCGACTGCTGTTTTAGGCGTCAGGGAAACGAACTACAGACTGGAGAAACAAGGAGTCGTCCCAGTCTGTAAAGCAAGATTCGACTCCATTCGTTTTCGCCGTTACACAGCCAGCAAGCAATGACATTCGGCTGTTCGCATCGCTGAAAATAGGGCAAAGAACATACAGAGCGCTCATCGACACAGGAACCACTAAAAATTACGTCGGGGATAGAATAGCTAAGACATACAAAGACTCTCTAGATAGCTACAGCGGGAGAACAAGACTAGCAAATGGAGCGTCAATGGAGCTTAACCAGAAGTTGACGATTGAATGCGAGATCGATAGGTTACAAACCCGACAAACATTCATAGTAATGCCAGGGTTGACGGAAGATGCCTTACTAGGAGTGGAATTCCTTAGGAACCATTCTATCGAACTTAAATTCGATAAACATACGAGCAAACAATTCGTACAACATCAAGAAGAGGCATGTAATACTTTAAAAGACTCCACCAAAAATACAGAGCTAGAAAGGTTTCTAAGAAAAGAACTAAGGGAGTTTGAGAACATAACAGGACCCACTAACTTAATAGAACACGAAATAAAATTGAAGACAAAATGCGATCCAGTCAAACAGCCTTATAGACGACACAATCCCGCAATGCTGCAGATCATCAACCAAGAAGTAGACAAGATGTTAAAAGAAGGAACCATCGAACCCTCCACAAGTGGTTGGAGTTCACCGATTGTACTAGTTAGGAAAAAAGATAACTCGTACAGGTTTTGCATTGACTTTAGAAAAGTCAACGAACTATCAGATAAGGACGCATATCCGTTACCCAGAATATCGGAAATTCTGGATAGACTTAAGGAAGCAAATTTTATATCAACCCTCGATTTGAAACAGGGATATTTTCAAATACCCCTAGAAGAAACTAGCCGCCCAGTGACAGCATTCAGCGTACCCGGAAAAGGCCATTTTCAGTTCAAAACCACCCCATTTGGACTGCATTCCGCAGGAGCCACTTTCCAACGCCTACTGGACAAGGTAATACCTCCTGATATGGAATTCGCGTTTGCCTACTTGGATGATATCGTAGTAATATCTAAAACGCTCCAAGAGCATTTAAATCACCTACAGGAAGTCTTCCGAAGACTGAAAGAAGCCAAGTTACAGCTGAACTTTGAAAAATGCACGTTTTGCCAGTCAGAACTCAGATACTTAGGACATGTGGTTGGAGCAGAAGGAATAAAAACTGACCCGGAGAAAACCAACGCTATAACCGGACTTACAGCACCGAGAAATGTGCGTCAACTCCGCCGGTTTCTAGGAATAACATCATGGTACCGCCGATTCATAGAGAACTATTCGACAATAGCAGGACCGCTAAACATGCTTCTGAAGAAGAAGATAAGATGGAAATGGACCGATAAGCAAGAAAACGCGTTTGAAGAGCTAAAATCAAAACTTACATCGGCCCCAGTATTAGCATGCCCCGATTTTTCAAAAACATTTTACCTGCAAACAGATGCGTCGAACTGCGGACTTGGAGTCGCACTAACACAGAAGTACGACGGCCAGGATAAAGTAATCGCATATGCTAGTCGAACCCTCACACCGGCCGAGACAAAATATTCCACAACGGAAAAAGAATGTCTATCCATCGTATACGGGATAAAGCAAATGAGGCCATATATAGAAGGATACAATTTTAAGGTCATATCAGACCATCAGTCCCTCAAATGGCTGAAGAACCTTAAAAACCCGTCAGGTCGATTAGCCAGGTGGAGTTTAGAACTGCAACAGTACGATTTTGAGGTAATATATAGAAAGGGAGTCCTCAACAAGGTAGCAGATGCTTTGTCACGACAACCACAGGAAAACCAGAGCGAAGAACCAGAGTTGGAATTATTAGCATCAGAATTGGAATCATGCAGTTGGTACGATAATTTATATAGAAATGTACTCCAGAACCCAGACGATTTCCCGGATCTACAAATAACAAACGGGAAGTTATATAAACACATTTGGAGCAGCCGTAATTTAGCCGACCCAGAGTTTAATAACCCATGGAAGTTATGCGTACCAAGATATAAAAGGAAAGATATTTTGGAGGAAAATCATGACTCGACCACAGCAGGCCATTTAGGAATTGCAAAAACAATTTGCCGAATAGCGCAAAAGTACTATTGGCCTAAGATGTTTAAACAAATCGCAGACTACGTTAGAGCTTGTACGAAGTGCCTCCAATATAAACCGTCTCAAATGCAACCAGCCGGGAAAATGCAACCGTCCACTGTAGAAAAGCCTTGGCATACTGTCTCAGTTGATTTAATGGGACCATTCCCAAGATCTGCAAAAGGAAACATTTTCTTAATAGTCGCGCAAGACCGGTTTACCAAATGGGTCGTTGCCCAGCCAATAAGAGCAGCATCTACGAACTCCATCATCGACACTTTACGATCGAAGGTAATTATGCAGTTCGGCATCCCGACGAAAATCATTTCGGACAACGGCGCGCAGTTCACAAGCAGCAATTTTAAGGCGTTCCTAAAGTCCTATAACATAAATCACATTCTAACACCGCCGTACTCACCTCAAGGCAATCCAGTGGAACGAATGAACAAAGTACTGAAAACGATGATAGCCACATACGTAGAAGATAACCATAAAGACTGGGACAAATTCATACCAGAATTCTGCTACGCCGTAAATTCGTCAAGACACGATTCAACAGGGTTTTCACCAGCGCTGCTTAATTTCGGAAGAGAATTAGACACAACAGAGGCGACAAGTGGACAAGATATACAGGGGTATGCAGAAAACTTGAACAAGTTAGAAGCGTTAAGAGAACTGGCGAAAGTGCACATGGAACACGCTTTCGAGGACCAAAAGAAACATTACGATCTAAGACGAAGAGACTGGCGACCACATCCAGGGGATCGAGTCATGAAAAAGGAACACCATCTATCGTCGGCGAGTGCA